CTCTCAAAAGACCCCATCCCACTTGTTTTCCAAATCTATACCCACGTGCACTGAACCACATGTCAGATAGTACAGTAGTCGTATGTGGTGATACCCAAACAATTTGCACAATACGAATTGGGGGGTGTGTATAATTCATCCTCAACGGTCCATTTTACAGATGAGGAAACCGAGACACGAAAGGGTAAGTAACGTGTTCGAGGTCTCCCGGTGGAAGTGGTGGAGCCAGGATTTCAACCCAGGTTGCTCAACTCCCCACCCATTCTGTCTTGTCTGCCAGAGGGACCAGCCGTGCTAGGTATGTAAGGGGTCTAAGACCACCACCTCCGCAGAGGGACAGAGGGTGGCGTTCCAGGCTGCAGGTCCCTGGCACAGAGACAGTGTGCAATGGGGCCGACTCCCCCCCTCCCCGCTGACCTCTCGAGGTGTGGCTCCTGAGGTGCCATGCGGCCACTACTCCCTGCCCTGGCCTCCCGCAGGGGTGGCACATTAAAGGGGCGGTGAAAGGCCTTCATAAACTGTAAAGTGCCGTTCCCAAGTAAGGAGGACCTTGGCAACAGTGGTAGATGGTGGCTTTAGGGCAGTGCAAGCCCTCTGTGTCTCTACTTCAGCCGTGTCTGGTGAGAGGTGGCCAGGAAGTCATCCACTCAGTGAGTGTCCACCAAGCCCCTCTTAGCATCTGGCAGAACCCACCTCTTCGTGCTCAGTTACTTTTTAAATAAAATTAATTAATTAATTATTTTTTTGAGACAGAGTCTCACTCTGTCACCGGGCTAGAGTGCCATGTGTGTCAGGCCTAGCTCACAGCAACCTCAAACTCCTTGGCTCAAGCAATCCTGCCTCAGCCCCGAGTAGCTGGACACAGGCATGCGCCACCCATGCCCGGCTCCATTGTTTTCTATAGTATTTTAGTTGGCCAATTAATTTTGTTCTATATTTTTTAGTAGGGACAGGTCTTGCTCTTGCTCAGGCTGGTTTCTAACTCCTGAGCTCGAGCTATCCGCCTGCCTCAGCCTCCCAGAGTGCTAGGATTACAGGCATGAGCCACCGTTCCGTGGCCCAGTTTCTTTATTATGCAATCGTTAGGACACCTTATCAGAGTACCTGGGGTGAGTTGGCAATGACTTAGTGTTTTATTGCCTGCTAAGGCTCACTATGAGACATAACAATTTAAAGATAAAATATAGGCTGAGCATGGTGGCTCACACCTGTAATCTGAGCACTCAGGGAGGCTGAGGTGGGAGGATTGCCTGAGGTCAGGAGTTAGAGACCAGCCTGAGCAAGCACAAATCCCCATCTCTACTAAAAATAGAAAAATTAGCCAGGCGCAGTGCCGCACACCTGGAGTCCCAGCTATTTGGGAGGCTTAGGCCAGAGGATTGCTTGAGCCCAGGAGTTTGAGGTTGCTGTGAGCTTTGATGATGCCATTGCACTCCAGCCAGGGTGACAGAGCAAGACTCTATCTCAGAAAAAAAAAAAAAAAAAAGATAAAATATAATCATGTAAGGAATCATGATTATAACATTTACATAATTTTTTGTCTATTTCCAAAGACTGAGATGTATTGTCACTGGCCTCAGGGGCTCCATCCGCATGATTCCTGCACCACTCCACTGTCCCTACTAGCCTTTCCTCCTGCCCCCCACGTGCCCGCCCTCATTTTCTTAAATGCCCCTTCTCCTCGGACCCCTTCTCCTTGCCTCTCATCTTGCTATCTCTACAGGCTCTAGAGGCTCGGTCTCAAAACATGGGCTCTGCTGACATTGCTCAGGTGATGGCGATGCAGGGCGTGGGGCTGCACGGTGCCAGGCCCCACTTCTACCCCAGGTCCGTGCTGTTCCTGCGAGTGGAGCATGTGGCCTTCGAGTCAGTGGTGGGGCTGAGCACCCGCCATGTGCTGGACCCACCCAGGCCGGGCGTGTCACCCATCATGTCAGGGCCTTGGAATGGGCCCCTCAACCACAATCAGCCGTTGAGGCATGGGGTCCACCAGTCTCCGCCTCCTCTCTCAGCTCAGCCCCTACCCTCTGCTGGCATAGGGGGGCTGCTCCAAGGGAAGGGAGTTGCCCTGGCCTGGGACATCCAGCCAAGGAGAGGAAAGGGAGACTGGGGCAGAAGGACGTGTGGGGCCGAGGACTGGGTGTCTGGGGGTCTCCCAAAATAAATGGGGTAACTTTTAAGGGCGCTGAAGGTTTTTGCAAGACCAAGTTGATACAAGAACCTGAGCAATGCCTTTTGTGAATGGGCTTGAGAGAAAGGCAAAGGAAAATAACAATCTGCATCCAGGCAGAGGAGACAGCCCTGAGGGCAGGTCAGAGTGATGTTGACACCCAGCCAGGAACGAATCTTATAATGATTTATGATAAGTGGCCACACAGGCCAAGGAGCGTGATTCAACCATCGCCAGGACTGTGGCGCAAATGAAAAAAGTCTGAGGATGTACTCAAAACACATACTCCTCCCATCCTGGGAATTTCAGTAACAACCAGCGATGATGAATATGACAGCTCTAAGTTTTGTATCTAGTGCCAGGTTGAACGTGTATTAGGTTGGTGCAAAAGTAATTATGGTTTTGGACTGGGAATTTTAAATCACCATAACTAGGCTCAAACACATCTTTATTAATCAAAATAAGAACCATTACAATCAACACATTGTTGCCAATGAGAAATAAGTTTGTTTATTCCTGTAGTGTAAAAATATGTGCTTTGTGATTCAACGAACTCATGGAAAGCATTTTTTCTGAATGCTTCCTGCTGGTTGTGGAAGCGTTTGCCCTGCAAAGAGTTGACAAGATGCTCAGGGAAGTGGTAGCTGGTTGGCGAGAGGTCAGGTGAACATGGTGGCTGGCACACGCACGAACGTTTTTTAAATTCCCATGGTTACATATTTATTTCAGTGCGTATTAGAAATATATGCATGTGCTTGGGCATGGTATGGTGGCTCACACTTGGAATCACAGGTGAGATAGAAAGATCACTTGAGGCCAGGAGTTCGAGACCAGCCTGGGCAACTCTGCAGAGGCAAAACTCTGCAGCCCAATTTGTTCGACTTTTGAAGCGTTGGTTGTGCGATGTGTGGTCGGGCGTTGTCATGGAGAAGA